CAATCGGAGGTTTGCCATTGCCTGCCGACGGACGACCGCTGTTAAGAAAAAACCTTTTTTCTATATTTTTTGCGATGTTGCTTTGACCAGGGTTTGAACCCGGGTCCTGCGGAGTGGAAGCGCGCACTGCTTACCACTACACCACAGCGGCCGACAGATAAGTACATACTTATTTATATTAAATTGAAATCAGAAAATGTCTTAAAAGATTAAAATTAATTAAAATTTTTATAAATCAGCTTTTATACATACATATGTATTTATTTAGGTATTTAGATTTTCTTAAAAATCGGTATGTACATACATGCATATTTAACTAAGCTTAAAATTGTACTTCCTCACTCTTGTACTTCACTTCATTGACTGACTTCAACTTCGCTGCAAATTGAACAAAGCAAAACATGATTTTTATGCGAGACAAATTTCCACAGAAAGTAACGGTAGAACAAGAATTTTTGGGTATTCATTCTATTTTTCAGCTGACTACGATGCAGCATTCTACTTTGCATTCTCCGAAATGAAGCAAAGAAGCAAAATAAAATAAAATATTGTAGGACATTCTACTTTGCATTTCCGGAAATGAAGCAAAGAAGCGAGACATAAATAAAATATTGTAGGACATTCTACTTTGCATTTCCGGAAATGAAGCAAAGAAACGAATTAAAAAAGAAATATTATAGGACATTCTACTTTGCATTCCCCGAAATCAAACAAAGAAGCGAAATAAATAAAATATTGTTGGACATTCTACTTTGCATTACCGGCAATGCTATGCCTTCTAGAACACGTTACCACTAAAAGCGATTACCGATTTTTTTCTGGGAAGTACGAAAAAGTATTTGAAATGACCTTTTATTTTTGAAAAAAATATATATATTTTAAGAAGTATGTAGTATACACACGACCAGATCCTTCAATTTCATCCTTCTAGCTTTATTAGCTTGAAAAATCAAATTAATTAAAAGGACAATTTTAATACCTTATCGTCCTCGCTAACCAAAAAAAACTAATATTTGTTTAATTCTAGAGAGTTTGCTCTTTCATTTGGTATCCACATTACTTTTCTACATTGAACTGCATTTTTTAAATAACTTTTTGAATTAGTCATATCTTTTAAATATCTATCAAAGTCCTTTTAATTTAAAAAAAAAATACGTCAGAGAGAAAAAATGCAGTTTTACTATATATGGTCCATACTTTGGCGAGCATATTGATTGTTTCGTGTGTTCTGAAGCTTTTTGTTTTTGTCGCACGGTTTTATATTACAGTGTAGTAGGATTATTGTATTTTATACTCCCATTTTTTTTTTTACTTTTCAACAAAAAAGTCACCTTTGTCCCCGATAAAATCAATTCTTACTCAACCTTCTTATTTAATACTCACCATCTTTATCGTAATGTGCCCACACGTCCATAAATTGATTGGCTGATAATTTCTTTAGCTCACGCGATTCTGGATCCCGATATTGACGCATAAAATTGTGTGCCTTCTCGATTTGTACGCGTTTGGCGGCAGCTGCAGCGGCAGCAGCTGAAGCGGTGGCTGCACTAGGAGATTCCATGGCTAAGTGGATGAAACTGCTTTCGCTCTCCAACAACAAATCGGCGTTTCACTATTGACAGAGGTTTACCAGGCGGTTCACTTAGACTTCGACAGTAAAGTCGTCTGCAAAAAGGAGATAAAGAAATATGAAAAAGATTTAATATTGTTAATGGAAATAGAGAATGTGTCAAAAGTTGAAATGTAATAGCATAGCATAGACCAGTGCTCGTCAAAGTGGTGGTCCGCGGACCGGTGCCGGTCCGTAAGCCATAAGTCGCCGGTCCGCAAGGGCGTCGCGAAATGGACAACGATTTTTTGATGTTTTATATTACTGTTTAATGAGGCTATATACAACTTGTATAATAAAAACAACTTAAATTTGTTAAACATTCATAAAAAATCGCTAATATCTGCTATCATTAAATGGTAATAGGTCATATATAGACACCCGGCTAATAAAGAAATTCATTTAAACAAATTTTAATACATATGTGAGATGATCGTAAACGAAAAATAATCAATAAAAAAAGGTACCGGTCCCCGACGTAATAGAAAAACTGCAGCCGGTCCGTCACACTCAAAAGTTTGACGAGCACTGGCATAGACTATGTTTGTACTGTCTTCGAAAAACACAATATACCAAAATGTGACAACACCAACCGCAAAGTTAAAATTGCAACTTTTGCCGCTCCGCTGTCACGAATTCTGCAAGCAATTGTCTACGCACCACCGACAAACACCAGTGCTGCCATCATTAGTTTGCTGTCACTTGCAAACCCACTGGGGCAAGAGTGCTCAAGTGTGGGCGAAGTGAATAAACGAAATGGTAAAATGTGAAAATCGAAATGCGTGCAACAAGAAAACAAACAACACAGAAGCAAAAAGTTTACAGACGATGGTTTTACGCCAAGAATTGTTTAGGAAAAAAAGTCTCCCAGTACTAAAATTTGCAAAGTGTTTGCCAACATCACTTTTGAGTTCTCATTGCTACAACGCTACGCTTGAAGTATCACTCGCCACTGCGTAATAGGATTGAGAGCACGCACATCCAGAAGCGCTGGGCTATGATACCGTGTCGTGTGTCGCATGGTAAAGTAAAGCCTTGATTTAGAAATTTTTTCTTCGCTTAAGAAAATGCGAAAACACGCATGTAGCTTGAGTACCTTAATTGCAGTACATCAAAGTAAATTTGCTTCTACCCACTTTTACATAGTACAAAAGACACCTGAGCCCTATCGAAAAAATGGAAGCCGCAATAAAGCATTGGCATTGACAAAGTGCGCAAGTGAGTTGTGGCTAAATTTCAACGCACACGACAGGCATTTGTATGTACATTAAGGTGGTCCAAAAATGCATGTGGGGGGAAAAAGTAAACTCGTAATTCTTATGCTTTCAGCCTTTAGCTTGTTCTAGACTGAAAAAAATATACCACTCTTTTTTATTTTACAATCAAAAAATATTTAGAGGTCGCTCAAAGTTGTCCATGTATTTTATATAGGAAAAAATAATTCATAGAAATGGTATAGAATTCTTGAAAATCAATATTTCTCGATCGGAAACTCTGTTTCTGTTCAGGAGATTCCCAATAATAATACCCAGATGTTTATTTAACCATTTCTTCACAGTACCTATATTTTATACGTCCGCCAAAAACTTCACAATATGCAACAATAATCTTTAGTATTAAAAAGTGATTAAATAAATAATTGAGTATTATTATTAGAAGTCGAAAAGATATTGATTTTCAAGAATTCTATACCATTTCTACAAAAAGTTGTTTTTTCCTATGTACATGAAATACATGGATTTTGATTTAAAAATCAAAAATAATGGGTATATTTTTTCGATATAGAAGCATCCTATGAGGTGAGAACATTTAAATTCCGACTTTACTTTTTTTGTACCACCCTATGGTACATACGTATACCTACATTTGCATTTATTTAGGTACTTGATGGTTGCGTAGAAAGTGCGCCAATTCATTGTGTGAAATTAATCCCGACAATTGTTGGTCTTAAGAGTAAAAAAAGCGTATATAGTACATACATACATATGTATATTGAATTGGCGTTAAAGTAGAAAATTAAAGAAAATGCAAGGATTATGGGTAATTTGCTTTATTTGTAAACTAGGCGCAGTGTCACACGCTCAACATGCGTGCGAGATTTTAGTGTGCCGTTTTAGTAAAGCAGCGTCTTAAGCGAAACCGCTTTTTCTCATTCCTAAGCAAACCATAAAAATTGGCATTTTCTATGGCTCCTACCAAAATATATTTTCTCAATTCGGTTGATTATGCCTATAAAAATCGAGCTGCTCTTAACTAATTTTTTTTCTTCAGATACCCTTCTTTACTTATAATAAATAAACTTTTTGGTAGACTAATGTAAACTTAAGAGATCTACACAAAAATAGTATATTTCCTTCCGACACTTCATTGGTTGTCTAGTTTGAGTGGTTTATCACCCTGGTGATAACCAGTGGTTATTAACCACAAACTCGTAGACTCCGGCCTTATGGTCGGGTCATTGCATCCTTGGTCAGAACCTGTCAGTGTTCTTTGCAGAATGCCGTGAGCGTGTAGAAACATATATGTACATTTGCATAGAAGTTTTAAACTCTGTATAAAATTGAGTAAAAATTCTCCAAAATTCTAAACTTTTATATCAGAATTTACAGAACATTTTTTGGTATGCAGTTCTATTTGATATTTTAATTGAATAACCTGCAAGGTTACAGTTGCTAAAAAATACCGTTGATTTTTGATAATTTTTTTCTATATAAAAAAATTTTCCAATATATTTTGTATGAAAGCAAATGCGTAAAACCGTCAGCAAAAACAAATGTCAAAAATCGACATGATTTTTTCGCAACTTCAAACAAGCCTTCTATATAGGAACCAAATCAAGGTTCCCAAATATCTTGAGTAGACCCCCTGATTTTGAATGGGCTGTGGGTACACCAGATCTGTCTGGTAGCCTATAAGTCCTGTACAGATCCGTATTTGCTTAGATTTCGAGCTAGATTAGGTTAGGTTAGGTAAGCGGGCTGCCTCCGTATATGGAGACACACTTGCACTCGACTAAGCTGTCCATTGCGATGCCCTTAGAGGGGAAAGGAAAAAGGACGTAGGGAGACCGGAAAAAGAGAGGAAGGGTTGGGGAAAGAGGAGAGAAGCTAAGGGAGAATGACGACACCTATGGCTTTTTGTCCGAAGAAACGATTAATAATCGATTAATGAAACACAAGATTGCGATGCAATTAAATCGTAAGTTGGAAAAAAACAATTGATTAATTTAATCAAATGATTAATCGCTGGCATCTCTATCGATACTCTCTCTCCCTAGTTTAAAGCAGTCTCGGATTCCTCGACCCTGACATTTGAGTACTTAGGATGATGTCCAATGACTCCCCGGCCGACTTGATACATTATTCATTCAATGAAACATTTAAAACATTTTAGCTGAAACACTTGGAAAGTGTATATTTCCCATATTTCAGGTTTACATAAAAAGAAATTTACTGTTCGATTATCTTACAATAGTTCAACTTAA